GAAGAGAGGTGCTGCTCTATAGAATTTAAGTGAATTGTGAAGAAATGACATTGTTATGCAAAGGTTATTTCTCTACAGCTCTGTAGCATTTGCATTGAACATTAATCAGTGCAAATTGATTATTATCAGCTAACAATTTATTTCATTTTTCCAAAAAGCAAACAAATAAAATGTTTAAAAGAAAATCATTGTAAAAAAGTAAAAATGCCAAAGTATGTCATTAGGTCAAAATCAGCTGATAACAAAGTCCAATGTTACATTGGAAACTGTAAACATGGTCCAAATTTCATAGCTGTTTATCGAAGGACAAGAAGGTCACTAGGTCAAAATCTATGTTCAAATTTCATAGCTGTACATCAAAACAAAGTAAGTCACTAGGTCAAAATCTAGGTCAGCTGATATAAAAGTTTAATATTTCATCTAAAACTTTACATATCAATATTGTTTGGTGGCATGTCTTGTTTTGTCCAAGTATAAATCAAGTGTGTAAAAAAAATAACAAAATTAAGACAATTTAAACAAAATTCAATAATTTGACCTTGATCGTCGAGGTCATTAAACACTCAAGGCCAAGGTCAGTTCAACCTTATAGAAGGTCTTGTCGAAAAGGTTGAAGATAATTCATTGATTAAATACCAAATTTCTCAATTATAGCAAAAGTCAGTGAAAATTCAATAATTTAACCTTCAAGGTCAAGGTCATCAATAAGCCAAGATCAATTTGAGCTTGACATACGCTAAGGTCTTATCCAAAAAATGTTTTTCTTTATTTTGGTGTCCTGTTCTAAAAATTACAGATTGCCCATTTACTTAGCCATCTTTCGTTTCTGTTATTTTTGGCATTTGAAACAGTATATAGTGATCAAGCATTTTGCTTCTTTTACGTCAAATGATTTCACATCAAGTTAATTAACATGCTTAGATATAAAACATGAGACTTTGTTTATTTTGTCCAATGATTCCAGTACAGTGATCACAACTTAAAACTTCCCTACTACACTGAAACGAATATTTCGTGATTTTCGTGGAGACAAATACTGCTTTCCGCTTTAGGTTGTTTGGGTTTTTAATGGCACAGCCATACCGTGTCGCAAATTAAAGGCACAACCATACCGTGTCGCAAATTACAGTCAGTTAGTAAAGGATACAAGCTTATTTTCTGTTTAGATCATGTAATGACGAAGATGGTTATTCATCTAAACAGGGATAGATATCATGATTGTGGCTTGTCCTAATTTCATGTTCATCCATGATTTAACTTTGTTTAATTTTTTTCCCGTACACACATGGCCGATGGATGACAAGTCAGACCAGACTAGGGAATATTGTAAAATCGAAATAAATAGTATCCCTAAAAAAAAAGAAATGTCGGAAAGATGTATTTGTTAGGCTACTTATATATAACATATAAAAAGATTAAGTATTTTGAAGCATTTCAAGTAAAAAAAAGGGATATAAATTGTTACTGAAACCAGGTACGTATATTGTCCACATGCTTTTTATTCTGCCTTATTGTCTTCATGATTTTGTCATACCCCATTGTCTACAATGCCGAGACAGGTTAGTTTCACTGTTGAGTCTTGCTTCGACTGTTGTTGTAAGAATGCTATTGGTCTGTAGATGGCCACTCTGCTAAGGTTATACTGTATTAAAGCTGCGACCTTAGGACATTTAAACCGGGGATCAAAATACAATATGACGGTTTTCATGTCAATGTTAAGACAATATTTATTTCACTTTACCGTATGTATACATGTATGTAGCTGTTATCTGTGTGTTATTTGCTATACACGTGGTGGATACGGCGATATTTCAGTTTTACTTCCGTTATATTTGTTTATTTTATTGTTTATTTTCATACGTTCTTGAGATATACTGTACTATCTACAACCATTTTTAGGTAAGTTTTTTGTTTTTATCTTTTATTAACATTGTTTGTTGTAATTGTTTTAACATGAATGTATGTAATATATACCATCAAATGTCCCGGGTATATTTGAGAAATGAAGATCAGTTATGATAAAGTGACAGGGGTTGTATAAGATAAAATTCTATTTATATCTACTAGTATATTAGCATTTTCATAACAATACGTGTGTACTTTTACGTGATCACCAGAGATGTAGATAACAGAGATAAATTATGTCTCGGGTCTCATCAAAACATGGTTATGAATGATAATAAGCAAATAAATACTATACTATCATGTTTCTAGAAACCAAAAGTACAAAACTTATCATTTGGACGATAGTTTGCATATTGTTTTCGACATTATTTTCGTAGGACACATTTTTTATTCGAAATTGACTACATTTTCCGTTGTATGTAAAATAAAAAAAACTTTCTTTATTTATCATACACAGATTACACACACAATTATAGTCCCTATTAAACCGAGTTTATATTATGATTATGCACGAGGTGTTCCGATTGTTTGGAACTCAGTAATTACACGGTATTTCGGTTTAAACCAACACCAACAAAATGAACTCTAGTGTACACGTCTAATCGATATTTCGGACTGGGTTATGGTTGTATGTTACCCCAGTTCACACATAGTCACCGCTTCTACTACGATCTAAGCGTGGCCGAAAACGTGGCCGATCGTGGCAAATCGCAGGAGAAACGTAGTGGAGTCTACATAAGCGCAGTATGATCGCGGTAGCGTCTTCATGATCGGAAAGCTCTACGCTCTCGCCACGTTTATTTTGAACGTGCTCAAAACAAGCGTAGCGGGATCGTGGCCAACAAGAATCGGGGTAAAGTCGTAAAAAGAGCGTGGTAGAAGCGCCGTAATCGTACAAGCAGCGCGGAAGCATCGTGGATAGTTCTTCAAGAGCGTATTAAAGGCGCAGTAAAAGCGTAGTACAGTCGGGAACATATCGAGTACGCTTCTACATCGTTCCCACTATGTTCTTACCACGTTCCCACTACGATCTCTCTACGTTCATGACGATCATACGAAAACCTACCATGACCTTACAACGATCATACCACGACATGTCAGGTAGCAGTTTGTTTTAATAGCGCTGCTATTTGACCAATCATAATCTGAAGAAGTGGTGTCTTCCATTCGGAGTTCTCTCGTCAGTGTATCATATTGTCTATTTCTGCAGATAGCCATGTCCGTACCCAGTATCTTCTTGGCCTCCTTCTGCGCCACCGCCTGTTAACAATCTGTGCAATTACAATTTCTCTTGCTGAAGTAAAGCCTGATGAATCAGATCAGCATTAATACGTCCGTTCATGTTTGAAGTTTGGAAGTAAATGAAAAGTATTTTTTGAAACCCAAGATATATATATCATCACCAAAATCGTACCAGAAGCGTACTACAAGTATTATATGATTGGCACCGTCGTAGCGATATCGTTGTACAGCCTTCTATGTCGGCGTAGCGTCGTAGGGCGAGTTTGAATGTCGTAGCGGCAGCATAGTATAAACGCAGTAAACGCCGCCGCTGGTCTGCATCGGTCAGCGTAACATCGTAGTAGAAGCGTGTCAGCAGCGCGTTTGCGTGGGAACATCGTAGTACAGTCGTAATGAAGATCAAAATTTGCCAAATTGTTCGATTTCGACGCCGATCGACCCCTATTGGCCCCGATCCAATACCTTTTCAGATCGTGGCTTGATCGGCATGATCGTCAAGTCGCAGCTCTGTGTGAACGGGGGTTAGTGGGTATTTTATATATATGAGCCGCGTCATGACAAAACCAACATAGTGGGTTTGCGACCAGCATGAATCCAGACCAGCCTGCGCCTCCGCGCAGTCTGATCAGGATCCATGCTGTTCGCTTTCAGTTTCTCTACTTGTAATAGGGTTTGTAAGCGAACAGCATGGATCCTGATCAGACTGCGCGGAGGCGCAGGCTGGTCTGGATCCATGCTGGTCGCAAACCCATTACGTTGGTTTTGTCATGACGCGGCTCATATATATTTTCATTACAGGTCGTATAATGGGAATAGCTAACAAAAAAATTCTTGTCCAAAGCAAAATTTCAAAATGAGACGTTTTAAAAATACGATGTATACAAGTATATGGCAAAAATGATCACCACCGTGAACCGAAATCACACACCACAAGATTAAGGTTTTCTGTGGCTAAGGTCCTAGGTACAGAGTAAAAAGTTAGATAAAACTAAAAATGTGTCTGAATACAAATACCCACGCTATATGTTTGAATAAAGATATTATGAAAGCTTCTTTTACGATAAAAGACCTTTTTAAGTAAGACGACTTATTTTAATATCCATAAGGCTTTAATTTTAGAGTCACAAATTTCCAAGTTAAGTTTGTACTAGAGCAGTAAACTGGAGAATAAGATAAAAAGGTTTTTACTTAAGTAACAATAAGTAAAAAGTAACAATAAGTAAAGTATCGATTATCACAATTGCCAGGATAACAATGACTCATTATGCTTATAACAGAGATGCATGACAGAGTTTTTGGCAAGACAAGATTTTCTAATTGCTAACTGCTAACCTTTGACCTCTAAGTGTGAGATTGATCTTGAAGTTAGGGGTCTATGTATTGCGCAGGACAAATCGTCTTATCACGCTCAATATCCGTGTCAAATTGTTTTGAAATCCCTTGGTGCATGGTGGAGTTAAGTGCCGGACAAGAATTTATAACTACAGACATTTGACCTTTGAGTATGACCTTGACATTAGAGCTAATGCTCTAGGTCTTGTACATGACGCACCGCCTAACCATGCTGCACATTTGTGTCGATTAATTTAAAAATCCTTAGGAGCATGACAGAGAAAAAGACCGGACAAGATTTTCTAATTGCAGACATTTGACCTCTAAGTGTGACCTTGACCTTGGAATTGCTTGACAGAGTTTTTTATTATAATTAAAAGAAATGTGTGAGCGAATAATAATGAAGTTTGACTTTTTTATAATCTTTTACATGCTTTTGAATTTTTAATGGCGATACTTCCAATATTAGGCTAATCTAAAATATTCACATACACGGAGAAATATGCTAGATTAATCAAAATTAATTAGTTGACTAAATCATTCAGATATATTTATATGTTCCGTCCACTGTATAGGTATGTCTGCTACGAGGAGAAAGCTGTTGATTGATACAGATGCCGGAGTTGACGACGCTCAGGCGATCTTGATGGCTCTCCAAGCCCCGGATGTTGACGTCATTGGAATTACATGTGTTATGGGAAATGCGGACGTGGAACAAGTTGGTTTGAATGTTCTTCGAATCCTAAAAGTCGTAGATAGACTAGATGTAAGTTCAATATTTTAATGATTTACATTAACTTGTATGACAATAGTCCTTTAGAAATAATAAAAGGGTTTGCTTATTTTACTTTCAGCATACACACCACTAAATTTAATGGAATGTCTCCACTTACTTTTTCATTATCCGTATTTTCACTGTTATGTAAAGATTAACAGTGAAACATATTTTCTGTATTTTCACTGATATCTTGCCGGACTACTTTCATCAGCAAATAAACAAACTTTAAAGGACAGTCTTTCAAAAAAAGAGAAAAATGTATATAATAAATAGATTTTTTATATATTTTTCTTCTATAAATACAGGATTTATTTTCATCTTGTGGTATGAAAATTATCATATTATATTCATACCAATCGATGAAAATAAGTCCTGTATTTATAGAAAAAAAAACACTTGAATATCCTGTATATTTACATATACATTTCCTTGTTTAACAAGATAATTATGTTATATGAACAAGGTAATTATCTCGAGGGAACAAGATAATTATTTCAATAGAATTTCAAAAAATAAAGAATTACGCATGTCTCCCCTGTGCCACCGTAGCATTTATTGTACTTAAACTGTTATTGTCATCCCGAGCATGAAAGCACGTGGTGTTCCATTTCATGATATTTATACGACAACGTTGTAATTAATCCAGTTTTAGTATCATTTTACTCTGAAATATGTAATAGTAATAGTACATGAAACGAATTAATTACGATGATATAACACTGACTGGGGCGACATATAGGGATGTTTCTGCTAAAAAATCACGATGCCGTTAGGCCGAGACAATTTTTTGCAGAAACATCTCGAGATGTCGCCCAGCAGTGTTATTTCCTCGTAACTTACGAGTTTCATATACTTTAACTGTTTTATCGCAATGGCATAATGTTTTCTTTTTTGTAATAGAAATAAATAAATAAATCGTTAGCTACATTACAGTTATTTATGATAAGGCAGTTTTTTTTTTCAAGTTGTTTTCGCTGCCGCTAAAAAATTACAAAATTAAAGACATTCAATGTTAGAGGCGGATTGTAAACTGTTACCAATATTGATTTAAGACTAAAGGGCTTTTTAAGTGGAAATAATTCATTCAGCGAATGTACCTTTTGATTAAATGAGAGTAAATTTTATTTCATTAATTACCTTAATTTTGTTTATATTTTTCATTGTATTTATTTATTTTTTTTTAATTTTATTGATTCCATTTTTTTTCTTTTTTTGCTACTGGGAATGTTCGTTACCACTGCCCCATCGGAGCCTCTATGAAAAAAACTACATTGATATATACAAGGTGCGAAAAAAACTCAACCGCTATATAGCAGTCGAGTTTTTTTTCCTATATGAAACAATGAAAAAACTGCACTGCTATATATCAATACAGTTTTCAAATGCTTATTGAAGTATACTGAGTATATGGGTTAGTAAGAACAAATGAAAAGTTCCAAACTTTGAGATAAACAATAGATTTCTAAGTGTTAACGAGTAATTTTTGTAAAAAGATTCCAGTATTTATCGGCTGTAATGAACCGTTGCTAGGCGACAAGAAGCCAACTAGTGACTATCATGGCTTGGATGGTTTTGGTGATGCTCCGGATGAAGATGCTCCGGATAAAAGTCATCTTCAGTCGGAACATGCCGTCATGGCTTTAGTCCGGATTGCAAAGGAACATGAAGGTAAACTTTACAAGAGAGTTTTAAGAGTTTATTTCACAGTACATTTGGGCAATATGCCCATGCATACACGGTACATATAACAAAGCATACAATACAATCAAATGGTCAATGTCACAACTTAATAAAACATATATCATTAAGTTTCACAGTATTTTTAGCAATCAGGAAACGTTAACTATAAATAGAATATACTATCAACATGTCTCAATTCATATACTGGTAAATTAATACTAAGGACAGATACCATCCTATTAATAAGGAAGTAAATCACAAAACAAAACGAAAATAAGTGTATGTAAGACTTGCATGCAGGTCAACAGAAACGTTGTAAAAGAAAAACTTCAAAAGAAAACCTGAGAAAGATTAGGACAATGGGTTTACAGTAGGGAAAATGGCGGACATGGTTTAAACATATTTTTATTCAAGATATATACATATGTTGATAATATACATATTTAAGCAGAAAGGAATTGGACCGTTAAGAAGAAAGGAATTGGACCGAGAGCTGCAATAGCTCATGGTAGTCCTCTTTTGGCGGACATGTCACAATGCTTTTGATTATTACGAACTTTAAATTTAAATTTAACGAAAATTGACAAGCATTATCTCGGTTTGTTACATGTATATGTCACCATTTCAGCTAAATTTGTCTGTTACATATTTTGATTGAATTGATACAATGTGATTTGAGAAGGTTCTGTCAAATATCACTATCGCAGTGAAAAGAAAAAGGTTTCAATATGATAGGTTTACCTTTATAGTAGCATGTAAAGATCTACTATAATTTACAAGTTATACTTAATGTGACAAAGTAATACCATTCTTTTTTCAACACCAACATGTACGTATTATGTTGCTTTTACATTTTACCAGGGGAAGTTACTCTTGCCTGTATCGGACCATTAACAAACGTTGCCATGGCAATACGTATGGACAGCAAATTTGGTTCTCGGTTTAAAGGCTGTTATATAATGGGCGGAAACCATGAAGGTAGGTTTCAAAATTGCAATAAAATTGAATTTCTCAACCAAATAGTGCAATACAAATATAGCATTCAAACAGGAACGTATAGTACCCTGATGCATTATAAATGATTCGCATGACTTTTATTCTTTTGGTGTGTTTTTAAGTCAGAGCTTTACTGGAGGAAGGCCTCTGGTGCCTTATTCATTTGTATAAAGTATTTAGTTCTTTTAGACAAACTGTATTTAGTACCGTCCTGCAATTGTACAGTCATTATTTGATGTTAGAAGCGTTAACTATACCAATATATCGTTTACATTTTATTTCATTTTTCCAGCTTTATTATCAAATTTGATAAACTAACAATTTTTGCTCTTTCCTTTAATTATTATCTTTTAATTAACATGAAACGTTTCAAACCACTGATCCTAACGTTTATCAAATCGCTATATTTAGTGTGAAAGGTTTGTGTTTCCATTTACAAAAAAAAAACGATAATCTTCAACTTTCAGGAAAAGGCAACATGACAACTTCGGCAGAGTTTAATTTTTACAGTGATCCAGAGGCCGCTTATGTAGTTCTCAACCAATTAAAAACTCCTATTACCATTGTCACATGGGAAACATGTGAAAAACATTCACTGCCTTGGGTAAATATTGCTCTGTTATCGTTTTGTTCATGAGTAGAATCTGCAATATTTTCTGTTCTGCCGTCTCGGACGATTGCCTTCAAGGAAGTTTAGTTTTGTCCATAATGAAATTTTACCCGAGTAGTTACAGTTAAACTTCGTTCGCTCGAACTCGCATTGCTCGAATACCTCCCTTCGCTCAAACTCATCGCCCAGTCCCAGCAAAATTCCTATATAATATATGTTGTTCTACCTTGGATCTCTCGGACACCGATGGCTCGAACTCTCGAACCTGATCTCTTGTCCTTTAGGCCTGTGTTCAACGTAATAATAGTTCAACCTCGGTTGGCTCGAACTACCGATCTCTCGAACAAATTTGCACAGGCCCCCGAGTTCGAGCGAACAAAATTCGACGGTAGTTTCTTCGTTTTTTTAATATTTGGCCTGTTACGTAATGTTGCCAATCTGAGGGGAACTTGCGTGTTCAAATCCTTGGCTAGAAACATTCTATCCAGGCAATTAGGTGAAGATAGTGTAATATGTCATTTTTCTCTGTACTTTCAATGCTATTTCATGCAGCATTGTAAGTAAATACCAATGAAAATGAGCTCTGTACTTTTTCGGAATCCAATAATATAATAAGTAACTCTTTTTTTCTTTCTAAACGTGTATAAAATAGATACAGTGTCACATGCAAGCATAAGACAATACATTAACGAATAAATTTTGATGCTGTAGTTGTTTATAAAAAACGAAAGGGTCGGACCACAAGTTTTAACAACATTAGAGAGTTGGCCCTTCCCAGTTAGAAATACGAAGTAATTTCTGAAGACTTTCATTCTAAAAGTACATTGAACCAGTATATTTGATACACTGGTTCTTAAGTTTAAATGTACCTGCAGTCAATTTGCATGCAATTTGAGAATATCATTTTAATAACATTTTAAAGTACATCTTTAATGAACTATATAGATGTTTTAGTACATCGCAAATATTCTTTTTACAGGACTGGTTCAAAGAGTTTCAAAGTTCACAAACTCCTTGTGGTATTTTCCTGTCAAAAATTGAGAAAAACGTCGTCTCTAATTTTTACCAGCCATTTTTTAATCAAGGAATAGATAAACAATATGAGGTCGTTGATCAATATGCTGTAGCTTGCGCAATATTTGATGATGTCATTCTCGACGAAGCTGCAGTATATGCGTCTGTCGAACTCAGATCAGACTTAACACGTGGTCAGATGGTTGTTGATTGGTCAAATGTAACCGGAAATGCGTGTAATGTGCGTATTGTCAAGGTCATAAACATGGATCTCATTCTAGAAATTTTGAAGAAGATTGTTTCTTAATCATATGATGTAATATAGTTAATCTTGTTTTGTTCAATCCATTTTAGAGAGGTATTTTTCTCGTTTTATTTCGCAGGAATTTTATCACAAGATACGGAGGAATGACAATGCGATTACGAACTTCCTACGAAAGATAGAAAAACTTTCAGAGAAATATGCTATTGAACACAAGTGGGACACGTTCATACCATGTGACGAGGTTCTTGTTGCTTGCTTTCTTAATCATGACGTAATCAAATCAAGTGCTGACGTTTACGCAACAGTGGAAGTTAAAGGTCAATACACTTGGGGTCAAATGGTTGTTGATTGGAATTCTGTTCTTAAAAAGAATAAAAATGTGAAAATTGTCACAAATATTGACCAAACTGTTTATGAAAATATTCTGATAAAACTAGTGTCAAACAAAAATTAAATAAATACACATTGACATACTGGGACCACGCACGATTGGCACAGAGAAACTATCCATGTTACATTCAATAGGTTGGTAAAATTTAAACAATTTCATATGGTGGCTCCTTTTTTATCGCCTTGTCGTCGTGAAACACGCCAAATGGTGCGTTGTCTCGCGGTATGTTGACGCGATGACACATTGATGCTTGGCTGAAATGGAAAAACTGGCTTATTGGCGCTTTGATGCTCGCGACAATGAGCCATGCGACAGCACGATAAGAAGCCAAGCCTTCGATATAAGCCAAGCAACAGGGCGACAACGCGCCGCACTATAACATGCAATTTGGCGCGCTTCACAGCGACAAGACTAAAAAGCGATAACGATATTTGGTGTTGTGTCTCTAGCGACAACGCAACACGTAAAGGAGAACAAATCAGCCACCATAGTTTCACGTATATGCGGACAAAATTGTACATATAGCTATACCCACTTATTATTCTGGGAAGTCATATTTACGCTTAAATTATGTGTGTGTATCACTTGAAACATGATTGCATGTAATTACATTAAGTCATTCAAATAAACTCTCTGTAAACTGAAATATTAAAAAAAATTAGTTTGTGTCATTTTTATTTGTTTGGGTCGTCAGACCAAACAAATAATGGTAGCGAAATTTCAGAGTCTAATGTTGTTAATTGCAAATGCCGAAAGTAGTCCACTTTTTTGAAGCGGTTACTTCCCTTTCGTATGTACAGTAACGCCGAAAAATTCAGGGGAGATCACTGCGTAAAGATGGTCAAAGACAGGCGCATTAATTTTTAAGCAAAGTAATTCCCGAATGGTCGAAGATTTCTAATATTGTTTTATTGTATTTTCTGATCGAAAATAAGTATATACCAAGCGGACATTCAATCTCTGACACAGAAGTTTACGACAAACCTAACAACAAGTAGTTCTCAAAACAGCTTAAAACGAGCGACTTAAAAGAAACAAATATTTTATTTTGTTACAAGTATCCAACAAATTACAACGCATTCAAAGTTAAACAATAGCGTTGGCTTATAGAATTGTCAATAAATGCACAATCACAAATTACGCGGATGAATATGATTTTATCAATGAAAATACTATTTTTAGCGATGTCGATTACCGAATACTACACAAACCGAGTAGTGGAATATATAGATTCTACATGTCGGACTGTTTGGGCGAGAAGATTTTCGCTAAAATATTTACTTCAATTTTAAACAACAGGTTTATCCTGAACAAAATACCTCGAAATTAATAAGGATTACAAACCCGAAATGCAATGGAAGTTCTAAATTTAGAATGACTTGATGTTAATCAGACTTTTATAACTTCTCCGTGGTACAGTGGTAACGCGCTCGCTTAGTGAGTGAGAGGTCTCGAGTTCAAATCCCAGTCGAGGAAACTTTTTTTGTTGTTAAATTCTTTTTTAAGTGTCTTTGTTAAGAAAGTAGCCATGATATGCAAGGATAAAGTGTGGCTGTCGTAAAAAATGAACATAAATGATTTTTTGATGCAACTCTAGTTATGCAGAATTCCGTATGTATCAAACTCTGGTGCCTTGCAAAATGAATTATAATACATAAAAATAAACTTATACAGGAAAATGCATACAGATATACAGTACGATTTAGATTGCAAAGATCAGAAAATACCACAGAACTTGCAGCCCTTTGATTCTTTATAAATATACATGCTTATAGTAAGCTCCAGGATTATTTACATCTGTGTTAAACAACAGTTAAAGTCGTTACAAGCCCTAATTTAGAATAATATGGTTTTCTTCAGGCCGTTCACATATAAATTCACCGTGGCTGAAGGGTTTTCGGGCTCGCTTAGGAAGCGAGAGGTCTGGAGTTCAAATCCCAGTAAAGGTAACTCATTTTTTTTCAAATTGTTAAAGTCAAATAAACATTGGATTGAATATCAGTGTTGCAATTAGTCTTATAGCCAATTTACTACAATTAAAACGCTGGAAAGCATTGGTGGCACTATACATATAATCTCACAACCTGCACCTTTCTTACATTCTGAGACCCAAACAAATTCAGCGCCTTCTGTGCTTTGATTATTCATTGAAACTGAAAAGTAATATTTATTGCAATATTTTATCCATACATTGGAATTAATGTCCTAAAATCTGCTGTTTTGTTAAGGCTTTTAACCTTACACTGGGTCTGTAATATTTTACAAACCATACTAGTTACTGACTGACTGATTTTTCCTTCAACTTATATGACACACTTCTGAAAAATTCCCCTTCAAATACACTATGATTAATAAATGTTCTGACTGGAAAATGGTTAAAAATAATATGTTTTAAGGATAATATGCTGAAAAAGGTTCGGGTTAAGTTAAGTACATATACCCTCAAGAGGGAGAACAATGCTAAGATTTTATTAGATGACATGAGATAATGTATGTCTGTGTTGTTTAAACGTGAAAAAACATTGATTCTATGTAAATCATTAACTTTGAATACAAATGTGTACAAGTTATATGTTGATGCTGCACATCAAAGACGCCGCCAAATGATGTGAACAGTCAATCAACATTGAAACAGTTGAATATCCGAAGCACAAATCAATTTTTTTTCTCCATGTTCTTGGTATGTGCTCGTTGTTATAGTGGGCGTGGTTTAGGCTTTGTAACTTGTAATTTAATGATTTGACAAGTGATATTGATCAAAGTTGTCCTGGTTCCTTTCTACCCCATCAACGAAGACTAAATGCTAGCATATATGGAGGGCGTTCGTTGCCAAAATTCCAGACATGTAAAGTGTTCCTTTTTAAAATGATTTTTGAAAATGCGAACTTGTATGCCTACCACTTTTATTGTAAACCTCTTAATTCAATCTTTTATTTGAAGGTTACCGCCTTTATATAACAAGTTTACATATATATCTTAACAACTGACCTAACATCTAAAACGACAACAAATTTACAAGTTCGTATCTTCCATTGCATGCAATACATATGCATGTTTGCACACTTATAGATCTGAAATATAAAAATGAAACGTAAAACTCGAATACGGAAAATAGAGTTTAAGAAAACGTGTTACCAGTTGCAGAACTACAAGAGTACGTTAACACAGTAACATGTTTAAAATGACAAAAGTAGATTCACAAAGTTAAACGATTTTAAGTCAAGCATAACGCCCCGCCCCTCTCGGAGTATTTACGAACTTCTATTGCGGACAGGTATAAAACGGCGCCTCTCCCATATTTTTAAATAAAACTGAAGGACAACATACGGCATTTTTCATAAAATATATATGTTACATTTGTTACAAAAGTTTTGTCAGTAGCAACATCACTTGAAAATTGCTGATTTTACCATTTATGATGAAGATAACTTATGCATTACCTTATTTTTAACATCGTGTTTTTATCAGTTACAAATTATTTATCATTTTAGTGAGTAGCCTGTCCGTGCTCTGCCTAGTGCCCTGTCCTGTGTTTTGTTTTGGGTCCGCTTTGGCTTCTTGCCACTTGTTCTTGTTGCTGGGTCATGTGGGGTTGCGTTCATTGAGCGCCGCCTTTCCTTGTTGATCTTGTTTATCATATATTCCTGAGAAACATCGGCGATGGGAAACAATGACCAACTTCAAGGGATTAATTTTATTAATAATGTAAAAAACCACCCAATATTCTTATTGGTATCATTGAAAAATGTATTAGCACAAATTTCATTTTCAACAAAAACTATGCAAGTATATTTTAAAGCGGCCACCGAGATTTCCTTTCCGAAATCAAGAAAATACTTATCCGTAGCACATATGTACAATCTTTAATAAGGTATTTTCAGTATGAATAAAAACTGTTTGCACTTGTTCATTATCCCTCATGTACAGACTCAATCAAACCGAGTCTGCAATTCTTATGTAATTTTGTAGTGATTAATGCTTCCGAGGGATCACTTTGTTTCCAGATTTTTATACTTCACAACAGCAGGTTTCAAGTGCCGTGAGGCAGCTGTAAAAAGTTGCCCCGTACTTCACTTCAGTGTTGTTATATTTTTCTGGTCTTTCGGGATCATTGATGCCAGCGCTATTAAGTGTTAAGAATTGAGTACCGTTCAAGCCGGTGCTAGGGGGGGGGGTATTTTCAGTATGAATAAAAACTTTTTGCACTTGTTCATTATCCCTCATGTGCAGACTCAATCAAACCGAATCTGCAATTCTTATGTAATTTTGTTGTGATTAATGCTTCCGAGGGATCACCTTGTTTCCAGATTTTTAATATACTTGTTCAAAACTTATGGTCTTTAAGAGGAAAAAAAAACAACGATAAGTTAGAAACAAAATTTTTAATACTTTTACGTAATTAATTTTCATTTTTAAGGCATCACTAGAAAGTTCATTAAGGATTCTTAAGCACTATTAAGTGTTGAGAATTGAGTACCGCTCAATCCGGTGCTAGGGGGCGTGAGGGATGTTGCACTTATTCATTATCTCTAATGTACAGACTCAATCAAACCGAGTCTGCAATTCTTATGTAATTTTGTTGTGATTAATGCTTCCGAGGGATCACTTTGTTTCCAGAATTTTTTACTTGAGTCTAAAATTATCAACGCCGCCTTTCCTTGATGATCTTGTTTATCATATTCTAAAATTATCAAAATTGACCAAGAAATAAAAAAAGTAAGTAGGGGGCGCCATGTTTCTCTTACTGAATTTCAGAGTGTGTTTTGTTTTTTTTTACTTGGGGATCATATGCCGTTTTTCATGGTATGGCACTTACGTGTCACATTGAAGGTTCCATGATAATCACCATATTAACACATCTGCGGATGTTTCAAAATTGTACCAGTTCATGTTGAATTTTGCTTAAGCCGGTGCTAGGGGGCGTGGACGATAACTTGCTCTTTCCATTACCGTCCATGAGCAGGCTCAATCAAACCGGCCTGCAACATTCTCAATTTTGTCGTTTTGAGCGTTCTTTAGGGATTCTTATTTTTCTCTATTTTACAGAAAATAACATGATAAACTTTTTAACGAAAAGTTAATTCATTTTGATTTAATTCCTTTTTATTTTGAGGCATTTTATAATTATATATCATAAATCGTATTAATCAAACTTTTATTTCAATCCAAAATTATCAAAATATATCACGAAATAAAAAAAAAGTTTGGAGGGAACGCCGTGTTTTTCTTACCAATTCGAGAGTGTTATTTTCAGACTAAAAAAAAACAACAAAAAAATCAATACATCTATTTAATTCATTTTTATTTCCGAGGCACTCATAGAAAGCTTATGGAGTAATCTTTCATTTGATACAAATTATATTGGACTTTTTATAGAAATAAAAAAAGTTAGAATGGACGCCGTGTTTTCCTTCACTTTATTGAGAAATAGGAGAGAGGCGACGGGTATTATACCTGTCCGTTCATTTCCGTGATAGAAGATCGTAAGTACTCAGAGAGGGGCGGGGCGTCATGCATGACTTAAAATCGTTTAACTTTGTGAATCTACTTTTGTCATTTTAAACATGTAACTGTGTAAATGTACTGTTGTAGTTCTACGACTGGAAACACGTTTTATTAAATTATATTTTCTGCATTCGAGTTTTACATTTCATATATATATCTACAAGTGTGTAAACATGCTTATGTATTATATGCAATGGTAGATACGAACTTGTAAATGTGTGTTAGGTCAGTTGTTAAGATTTACATGTAAACTTGTTATTTAAAAGCGGTGCCTTCAATTAAAAGATTGGATTAAGAGGCATATCATTTGCTGTGCACGAATGCAATCAAAAATGCTAGACATACATGTACGCATTTTCAAAAGTAGTTTTCAAAAGGAACACATTACATGTCTGGAATTTTGGCAACGATCGCCCTCCATAAGCATATAGAGCATAATATCAAATTTAATATGACACTTTTAGGAGGAGCCGAACTTCAACAGAGGCGAAGCAAATGAAGTACTTGACACTGCCTCAGTTGTCACCTCTCTCAACGGTTAAGTTTTAGAACGATCGAGATTATAGACTGGCTCATTGGCACGTTATTTATTATGTAGATAAAATTAGATAATGATAAAAAGAATATGATATTCAAACATGGCACTATCACTTCAGTTAAACGTTTATTCTAATCCTTTAAAGCTCTGTGACATATTGTACATCATAAAAGCTATTTTTATTAGAAAATTTAAAATCAGCGTGATTTTGTTAAAATTTTGCTAAAATTTTCCCCATTGCTGTATGGAAAATTGCATTGCAAGCGGCGTCTAGCAAGCGGCGTCTAATGACACGTCAGCAATGTTGTAGAAATATAATGTCTGTTCGTCACCTGGTAAATGCTGAACATTTTGTATTTGTTAACATGTAAGTCTGTAATGTATAATAAAACACGAGTTGTGGTCATTTAGGAAAAGAAAATACGTTTATAATTTTCACAATGTCATTTGGAGCTGACAAATTATTTGTCTTTTGGAAACACTTAAACATATGAGTAATTAGGACTAATGTTATTGAAAGAGATTAAATGTGAATCATTTGGAAAATATATAATATATTTGGAATTATGACAAAATATCAGTCATTTGGAAAGGAAAAATTATAATATCATTTTGGAGAGACAAAAGCGTTAGTTATTGTAACGTAAAGACAAAATAAATTAGTAATTTGGAGTCATGACAAAAACATAAGGTATTTGGAAAAGACAAAATATATTTGTATTTTTTTAATTATGTAATTACTGGAACAAACAAAATATCATTCATTTGGAAAAGAAAAAAAATATCTTTAATTTGGAATGTCATTTTTGAGGGACAAAAGCACAGTCATTTGCTGAAAAGACAATGCTTAATTAATAAATGATGTTGTTGTTGTTGTTGTTGCTGCTGTTGAAATATGCAAAGGTTTAGTTTAAACATACTTTATTGCATTAAATACATGTCAAACATTATACAAATGAGGAGCATATCACAAAAAGCAAATGGATTGGGCAACAAGTTCTAGATAAAAACCCTTCCCAGAATTAAACTTTGAATGCGTTGGATACTTGTAACAAAATAAAAATATTTCTTTCTTTTACATCGCTAGTTTTAAGCTGTTATGAGAACTACTTGTTGTTAGGTTTGTCGGGAAGCGCTGTTCCTGAGATTGAATGTCAGCATTGTATTTCCTGATCTATGATCAGAAAATACAAAAAGTATGTTAAGGTGCTGCTAAAAAGAAACTGTTCAGACAACATTGGAATTGTAAACATAATTTCTTTTTAAGTATCATTAAAGTGATTAGCCTGTCCGTGCTTTGCCTTGCGACCTATCCTGTTTTTGTTTTGGGTGCTCCTGGCCACTGGTTCTTGTTGCCGGGTCGTGTGGAGGTTGCTTCATTGATTGCGGATTTTCCTTGTTGATCTTGTTTACCATATTTTATAACTTAGTTCTGACTGAGTCACTGGTTGAGTCACTCATTAACCGACATTGGCATAATAACTTTGAATATTCAATCGCTAATTATCATAATGTATTTCAAAATTAGCAAACATATAATGCGAGAAAGATACATTTTTATGTTTTATTTAATATTTTATGATATACATGCAGATTAATGTTGGTATAGCAAATAAATAAGATACATATGTACATTAAAAGCAATTGTAGTCAATTTGCAAAATGATTTATGAAACGGATCGGAAGTGATAAATTTTAATGCAACAATATGACACTTTGCGAATAAAACTTCGCTAGGGAAAAGAAAGCAGAATTATGTATGTATTAAAATAATGGTATTTCAAATAAAAATACGTATGACTATAATGAAATGGTCGGAAGTCAGGTTAAAATCCATGTTGATATACTCGCTATACGTAGATGGAATAGGTACAAAAAATATAGGATTGAATTTGTATACATTTCAACTTATATATTATCTAACACAGGTTTGTTTCACTACACTAGAGAACATTATGTAAATCTGTGAAGAAGAAGAAACAATCTCAGGTCTGGTTTGCCAGTAGTATTTTATATCTTTCTGTAATGTTCTCGCTCTTTGATACTTTAACAACTGTTGCTTTATGTTCCGGCCTTTTTATTGTTGTAACAGAGTCCCCAGCATGTAGAAAACTTCCGGTACCGGTGGACGAATCGCATCGGACACCCCTCGGTCTTCTTCGTATAATGATTTTGTTGCCCGGCTTTGGAGGGGGCTCCATTTGCTGCAGATAAAGAATAGAAGATTCATATCTAAGGAAACGGTCTAATTGGAACATTTTATATCAACTTAATTAACATGAATTGATAAACAGTGAATGAATGTAAATCATAAACTTGAATATAGTCGGCCAGATCTGTCAACAAAGTTTGTTTGAGACATTCAAAATGAAAAAATAAATCCTCCTTTGGTCCTGTTCACGATCAAGATGATCGGTAAGACCAACTACGTGGGTTGGTCCCAGGTAATATAACTTGGGCTATAGAATCATAAATATCACTAAGAAAATAACACAGTTTAAGGTACGGGTACCTAGATATGTTTGCAATAGTTCTTAGAAAATATCATATAAAGTTTGTGATCATTTGTGTTAATTAATGACACGGCAACGTATGAAACGTTTACTTAGTTAAGATAGTGTAACAGTATTCATTAACTTAGTATTTTCGAAATTCTTTAATGAAAAATAAAAGGAAATACAGCATTACAAGTTTAGAATTATGTACTAGATACCATGCTATGTCTATATTCAACGTTTCATGCGGCGAAACATACACTTTAATTGCATGACTTTGAAAATTGTTTTTAAATGCAATGATCACAGTTACAGACGTAACACAACTATATTCTTCTTACGACTAAAAGGAAATGAAAATATTTTTATCTAACGGGAAAAATAATAGTTTGACCGAATATAGTTTTCGCCTTTTTTCACATTGTGAGGTATTTGGCAAGATTTCAAAACTTATTGATAAAACAATTTTGAACTATCTTTACATTGTAAAAAGGGTTTCTGTGACTCACTGGCCAACACGTTATTCATACTGATTTACTAGTATAATGAAGCATTAGCAAAAAAAAACGGGGCCTTCAAAATGCTGTGACATCAAAGACAAGGTCAGTAAATATCTGGTATAAAACACAAACACACACACGAACGTACACACACTAGCAATACGCAGCCTTTAACAAGAAAAGTAGACTCTAGAGAAAAATCCTGACAATCTCGAGGATGACTTTTTAGTTTACAAAAATGTTTTCTGCTTATTCAACCTCGTTTTGTTAATTCATACAAGTCAAAAGTTCATTTCCATTTTGAAATGGGGCAGACTATAGTAACAAACAATAAACATGCATTTAAGAAAACGTGAGTGATCAAGAAGTATTTGTTATTGATATATGTTTATATCAAGGTTATGTTTTAACTTGATGATCATTGCTGTAAACAATTGTAGTTTTCTAGACCATTAAAGTGAATTGACAGAAATCATTGCAAATAGTTAAACATAGCAAAAAAACGGCATAGAAATAATGAACAATGATAACATTGCATCTAAAAAAAGATGTGTCCTTTTGTAATTTATAAAATACGCGTCATTTTAGTGTATTTACTTATTAATCAATCACTCGTTGTAATATTAACAATGTTATTGGTGTTTATTTTTGTTTTTGAAAAAACGAAACGGAAGTTCTTTACAAAAGTTCATGATTAAAATAGAATAAACAACATTTTCGAGGCGGTATAGTTTTGACTGGACTCTAGCCCTATATATTCTTGTGATTTAGGTACGCCGTTATTGCCGATAACCAGCGTTCAGTGAAAAACAACATTATGTTACATCATGATGTGTTATATTATGGCATACAAAATGTACATGTATTGTGATCCTTAACGATCATTTCATATCTACCCCTATGATGTTTTTCCTGTACACACGCTAACATAAACAACATCTATTCTAATCAATTCAAATAATTAGCTACACAATTATTTGCTGTCTTCTTGTTTCACACCATACATACTTACATTTGCATTTGGAGATTGTCTTACTGAACAGGAATAATGTTTTACATTTGTATAATTTTAGCTTCTTCAGACACTTCCTTATAATTTTAAGTATTTTTTTTACAAATAAACACATTTAAAAAGCAGAAGAAAGAATAATACGGTGCATGCATTATAAAAAAAAGTTTTAATGATATTCCAATCTTAATTAATAAAAAGCGGTTTGATTTTATTTAAATGACTTCTTGAAATCGTAATGTTGCATTTAAAAAACAGCTAAATTGTCAAGAAGTTTGCTGGATTTTTTTTCTTCAGAAAACTATTTACCTCGATTTGCAATCGTCTCAATTTAGAGACATTCGGAGTTGTTTTAGGGTTGTCCTTACGAAGCCATTCGGCAACCTTTGTCTCGAGCTGTCTCAGATTTACTTCGGTCCTGTATTTTTCAAATCTCGTTACAGGACGAGATAACGTTTTTATATTTATTGCATCGAGACTTTCTGATCGATCACCGTCAAATGACCGACTGACATTTTCTTTAACTGCACTTTGAATTCTCCGGAAGGTTCTTGGCAAAGAATCCGGAAGTGACACTGAGTAATCATTAGCGTCTTGTTCAGTATTTTCCGGTTCACCGTTTGCAATTTTTACAGCGTCTAGTCTTTCCTGAACACCGTTTGGAACATTTTGCTGTGCCACTTTTTCAATTTCAAAATGATCGTCCCTCGGAGAAGAAAAGGAAACAACTGGGTTATATTCCTCATCACGTGGGGAAAACGTGCCAGTATCCGAGGCACCCGCCATGTTGGCAGCCATTACAAGCGTCTGTGGAAGCCTTATTGAATGAATATGTCCGTTCGTCTGACCTTTTCGAGCATTATTTCTCTCTTGTTGGTGCGCCTGGCGTCTCAACTTTGACCTCTCTCGTGCTCTAATCATGTAAAACACACTACCGGGTCCTTCTATATCTAACAATGGACCCTGGTGATTAAAGAATAACTTTTCCGCGATTTGAACAGACGTTTCGGGTTTCTTTTTCATATCGTCTTCCTGTGAAGCGGGCGGGTTATGAAGCAAGTTCAATTTGGTTTGTAACAATTTTAACAATGGCACCGCGTCATATTCTTTTAGCACCGACGTTCTTGTTGCAAGTTTCTTCTCTAAATTCCGCCTCATGGTATCAATTGTTCGCTGGTGTTTTTTCACGAAAAGTCTTTCATAATGTTTCATTTCTAGAACGAGTACTTCCGTTTTCTCCGTGCAGATAGCTGTGGTCATGTACGTATCCATGTCCATCAACACCTCAATCTCACCTTAAAGTCAAATAAAAATATGGTAGACAGTGTTCATTAAAATTTTGAAAGTCACACGTCCAGAACTTAAAATTATCACAGTTTATTATATATTTTCTTACGTCACAATTTGTGTCACATTTAACTAAAAAAAATCAAAAGCTTTTTATGTTTTTTTGTGTCCTATTACAGATTACAAAATGTTACTCACTAGCCAAATAATTAAGCCATTCCTTTTTTTGTTTTGCACTTTGGCATTAGGTACAATGCAATAGTGAATAGAAGTCAAAATACCACTTGCTTACAATGTGTTACATTAGTGACAAATTATTTCACTTCTTCATGTTATGAACATCTAAAATGTTCTAAATCCAATTTAACAACATTATAATTTCTACATACATTTACATGTATATACACAATACACAAAAGACATAATATTCATTTTGAGCCTTACAGTGCTTTCAAAGTGTAATAACTGTTTCAGTCCGCTATATGACTGTATAGTGTGAAACATTATTTTATACAGTTATGTAACAGTTTAATTTTTACATAGGTTAACCTTGAAATTGTTCATAAAGCATCTAGTCCGAACATTGTCCTTATTATGGAGAACATGGGATTTGTAAGCTAGAGGGTGGATCTTCGGGCGGGGCATAATTTGAGTAATTTCTTCGTGATAACTGATCTCCAAAATTTCTGATTTTGGATCACCCTGTACTTGCGGAGAAAATGATGGTTACTGATAGAATATCCAGGAAAACTGGTTAGGTTATCAACCGCCGGGATATGATAAACACGTGTTAAAATTAGCGTTAAAACCACAAAAATGATCAACCAACGAGGCATTTGTACTGCACAAGTTTCTTTCAAAACTTTACGATTTATTCGACATTTAATCAGAGAGTAAAGGAAGACAGCCCACTTACCAAGTGATTCATTTTTACCGAGGTAGCACATTTTTAGAAATTTCGGAAGAGAATCCTTTTTCTTCAGTGAAGGAGGGAGATTTTCCACGACATCTTGTTGGCGTTTTTGTTTCTTTTCTTTTATAAGTCTGGAACGATACGGCACAGCTTATATATAATGATATGGTAATTAATAAAGTTCAAAGGCTATTTACTAGATGGTACTCTTTTATTTTCAATTCTCAAAATGTTGTCTTGTTATATAATCAGCCTTTTAGAAAGAAAGGTCGTTTAATTTATTCAATTCAACCGTCACTTATGTATTTTGGACAATGCTTATATAGGCAAGGCAAATTAATTTACATATCATTATATTATATGTGTTTGCATACTTTTACTCTACATAAGATTGGTAAATCCAGAAAATGGAAAAGGAAATCAAAGTTGAAAAGTGAACATAGCAGACTCGCTTTGTTCGAGGCTGTTCATGAAAGATAATGGAAAACGCAACATCACTGACGCCCTATAGCACTAGTTAAAGCAGTATTCACACTTCAACAAAATTAGATATATGTATGAATAAATCCCGAAGGACGATAAAATATAATTGGAGAATTAAATCTTACTTTTCCCGCTCATCCTCCAGTAATTTATAAAGTTTCGGATATTGTTGCACGTGCTGTGAGGTGTCACATCGAATCTCCACTTGTCCGCTAAAAATTATAAACACAAATTATACGAATACTTGTTTATGTGATTATTTCCGTAGAAACATTGTTGGCATTATTTTATTTCCATAGGTTCTCTTTTAGAATATCAAATCATGGAATAGCATAGGTTTTGTACGACTTCATTTAATATTGACGGCGTTTGAAGGTTTGATCCATTATTAATGGTGATTGATTTACGCCATGTCCTATCGCTACTTTGCCAAAAAATGCGAAAAGACGAAGAAAGTGGCATACCTTTGTGTGTGTGGGGGGGGGGGTGCATTTCGACAAAGGTCAACTCCTTTCTTTGTGTTTTTCGCATTGTTGCATTTCGCGGATCGCATTGTTGCATTTCTCCGCGAAAAGCAGATATAAAGCAAAACACGACAACTTTTATGTGTCGTAGCTTTGCCCGATTATGTCGTATGCGAAAACCTTAGCAGGATAAATTTTGAGTTTGTCCTATCACGTGACATGGCGTACACTAGTCACCATAATTTATGTAGTTAATGTTTAATGACGAAAGAATGAAAAACAATGATCACTATCTAGAATATACAATAAGGAAGATTTTACGTATTTTGTAAATTTACAAACCTAACTATAAAATATATATTCCCAACAGCATCCCCTTGTTTCACAAGCACTGAATCATAAGGGAAAGTTTCTTTATACATAGCCATGGTCAGCTGCTTTTTATATTTTGGTATCCAAGACTTGAACAGGTCATTTGTTTTAATAAAGTGTTGCTTTTCTTCAAATTCCTCCGCCAAAACATCTCTTACTGCTCGATTATACAAGGCCCGGTCTACCACGAGAAGGTCCGTTTCTTCTTCGGCAATAATCGTAGCTGTCCGGACTGCATCGTCAGAAACAAGAGCCACTTCGCCAAACGGAAAACCGGAACCTGAAAGAAATTAAATTGCAAATTCAAATTCTTTATTTCTCTCAGTGCATCATACATGGTACAAAAACAATTAACATTTGTAAAAACGGCAATACGTACATGGCAAGTCATCTACTTTATTTTACAATACGAAATATCGTATTGTTTTAAGGTTTTGATTTATTATTGTTTAAAAGATAGTTAAACTTTATTTGCAAGATAAGATATATATTTTAGTGAATTGATATTGAAAAAAACAGGCTTATTCATAAGCATCTATTTTTATTTCATTTTTTTTAAATAAAAAAATGCAAGCTCCCTATAACAAATAAATTCATACCTAAACTTGTCACAAAGTTTCCCAACTTTGATCGATCAAGAACGCCGTCTTTTGTCGAACCAATGGCGGAAAATGCCGACATCTCGTCGGAGTCATTTGAACCCGCATCTTTATCCTTGTTTATGATGAATATAGAAATTTTGCCCGCCAAAATAATGTAAAAACTAAAAAGGAGAAAACGATAAAAATTAATAGGGTATAAGATATCCTCTTAAAGTAGACATGTTTTGCCAAGGGGGTGAACTCTTATAATCGGAGTTTGTAAATGGTTACATCCCTTATACAAGATTTAATAATCAAGTGTCAAGACAGTTATCCTTTCAGATATTTCGAAAATATCTTATTGTTCGCAATGCATAAACTCAAAGAAGCGGTAAAGACGCCCGCCAACTTAATAACTAACTGAACGTATCTTTGAAATGGGTACCAGGAGTAATAATGTGTCGTTGGAGCCATGTACATAACAGTTTTAATTAAAAAATTCAGTTCTGTCTGTTTTTTTTTAAAAAGTTATGCAATTCTTTTTATTATCACAATGATCGCTAAAATCTACTTTTATCCGCGAATTTCTGTCAGAAAAACAATAATGAAATAAGTCAATTTTGAAAAAAAAAATAATCTCCAACTGTTTATTAGACTACGACGCCGACCTGACACTCGAATCGAATGTACTACGTTTGTTTGTATTTTCTAAAACATTGTACATTCATGCGGTTGTACTTAAAGGTCCATTACTAGTATGTCCCAGAAATGCTTTATTTTTGTTTCTCAAAAGCTTTTTTATTTCTTCTGTATTTTTATAGTTTCCAAAAAGATGCTCATTGACCAAATACCTGAATCATCTTTTCATTCTATTTCTTTTTGGGGGCATGCGCAATGCGCCCCCAGTCAGCTTTACTATAGTTTGAACACATTTGTAAGCTATCTACGCTAAGCAAAATAGTTCCAAGACGTCTTTTCTTCACTATCATTCGTTTAAAGAAATAACAAAAACATGAATGCAATACCAGACGTGCGATTTATTTTGCAGAGAGGAACAAATTCAACAGCAGTTAATGAAGCTAAGCAGCTTTGATATTGCAAAAAATGATATAACCAAATATCCACGAGATCTCAAGTAAATGTATACGTTCCTTTTCTTAAAAATAAAAGAGAAAAACACAAAGACTAGCCTGTGTATAACTGTTTTGAAAATTAATTACGCCGGAAAGGAAAGACAAAAATATTAAGTATGCGAACCGACTCGCCCAGGAAAACAACAGAGATCAAAAACATTTAAAATAAATGAAATTTCTCTGAAAAACCTGTGCCCGTTTGTCAAATGTCAGTTTGCTTGAATGTCGGCCTCATTCCTTGTGGATATAAAGTTATGAACATCGCAAATTTAATTCATTATGACAAATCTTGCCATTGAAAACCATAAATAGATGTATCTAATTATTATTGTTAACATCTTTACGTATGAATAATATAAAACAGTTGATTTAAACAACCTTATACCATCACACAAGTGCTTGTAATTTATATTACATATAAAAGAAAAAAGTATTTTTATTTTTGTCTTTAAATAACATATCATTAAAAACCCTACTACAAATTTTCAAAAAAGAAAAAAGATGTTTCTTAATGATTATATAATTACAATTGATACATGCATAAAATCTGATTTTAACTTATACAATAACGATTGATGTACATGTATGTATAAAGTCTGATTTTTACTTTTACATTTTCAGCTAATGTTTTACGACAATTAAAAAACATTATGTGCATATTGCATATATTTCCACCCTATTATCTTTACTAGAAAATGTTGCTTGTACTGAATCGTCTGGTAGAATGAATATTTCATACACATAAACCTTTAAATACTACACTATCAAGCACGTAAAACTCGTGCACAAGTACTGACCAATACTTTACATTATAAACTATACACGTTACGAATAGACAAATATTTCACGCTTTACTAACGAAACGCGTGAAATAGATATTCGCAGTTACTCCCAAAATCATAGTTCCCTATCTATTTTAAAATTGACTGGCCAATTAATTACTAAATTTTGCAATCGTCTTTTAAAATTGTATGCATATTATTGCTTTACGCGATTTGAAAATAACTACATCAGCGGCCAAAGTAAATATAGTACAAATTACATGTAGTCATAAGTTAATTAAGTGTCAAAGAACTCAAAAATTTAGAAAGTAATGTTATACAGTTTTCAGATTAGGTAACTTTAAAGCTTATAATGCTTCATAAGTGTAAATGTAAGAAAAACATTGCATGCGTATGAATACAAACTATTTTCGCCCTAGTTGGTTATTAGTACAGTTTTAGTGATTTACAGTTTGTAGTATTTTGTATGGAAGTCAAAATACTAATTTACATTTTGCTTCTTTTACAGCATAATTATGATTTCCCATTTGCCGCTACTTTTTCAGGTAACAGTCATCTAACATGCCCTTTTTAAATTCATGTTACTCTATTCTAAAAAAAGTCAATATTTAATTCGTTTATGGAGCATAACGTGTACTTAATGATATTCTGAGAAAGAAAGTCCTCACTTACCAGTCGCCAATTTCACCTTGTTTTATGATGATATCATCTTTACAGTACTTTCCTACACTGCAGTTCCGTACAATATCCTTCAGGTAATCTGAAAATATAAAGAGTCAAATATTTACATTCCTTCAAGACTTAGTTAGGAAGATAATTTGTGCCACCTGTTTTCATGCAATGCATACATTTGACTAAATCACTTCAGTCGTCCGGTTTGTTTGTTTGTTGTTTTTTTTTTAATTAAAGACGCGAGATTTAGCGAGATTGATATTCTCTCGAGGAAGCACTAGCGGTATTTTGCGTTGGTAATTTGTCGCTTGTTTAACTTTAATCCTCAGGAGAATGGAATATATTCCCGATCGCAAGTCTGGTCAGACGCTAGCAAGAATAAGACTTAATTCTTGCATGTCTGTCTTGTGGAGCTTTGGCTATGATGGATAAAAGGTGAAGTTCGCCGAAAGAAAGAAAACTAACCCCACACTCCCCCACCCCTCTACAGCCACCCTTCGACACGTCTGAGATCAATATGTTACCCTTTCAAGCAATGCATGCAGTAATGGTACTATACATGTATATTCGTATATAAATATATGTTCAATATAATATATGTAAATTAGTTCGACATCATTGTGCCTACATCTTTGAAATGATTAAGAAAATGATTTTTTTCACATTGTAAACTCATGTAAGCTAATTTTTGAGAGAAAAAAACTTCTTTTAAGTATGTAAAAAAAAAAGGTAACTCTAGGTGTTTTCTAAAAAGTAATATAGTTTTATGAATCAATGCACCGCGCTGATCAAGGTTTTATGTTCGTGATCTAAAAAGAACAACTGAAAACAGTGTAAATTAAACCTGACAAGTTAAAAAATATGAATATTGTTCAAGTGAAAAACACAATAATTCAATCAACAGATCTTCTATATTTATTCATCATAGTCTTAGAAGTAATTTAAAGAAAGTCATATTTTTATTCTATTTAACGTTGGACAAAATAAACCGTACTTTTAATATCTGCCTAGCAAAATGTCGTTGATTTTATAAGTTTAGTCTTATAACTTATAACATTTATAAACTCGTGTGTCTATAGACATTATATATCAAGAAATTGAAATAGATATCTTCAATAAATTCATTACGCACAATGATGTTTACAAAAGTCCGCCTGTCTTTTTTTTCATACCATGTATTTACATAAATTGAAAGTACTTTAGAAAAGGGTTAAGGGTTTTTGTAGTGTTTATTTATGTACTCTATTTTTCCTATGTTTCTTTGTGACATCAATTTGCCATGTCTTAAAGGATTTGTTAAACAAATATGGTTAAACACTGATCTATAGTCTAGCTAAATACATGATTAAATATATGCCTGAAAAGGCACTGGCGAAAGTGTTAGGATTTGAAAAGTGAATAATTTATCGGTCTAAACTTTGTAGTAGGTCAGTATATATATACATATATATATGAGGCATTGTACTTTTATATGTTGATTTAACCAAAACATGATAAAATATTATAAAACATGAAAATGTGGTAAACACGATACAAGATAGTGACCCCAGGGGGTGGGGGAGTTTAAAGGTCATGATAAATTCATAATTTCAGAAATAATAAAAATAAATAATTAAAGACAATTTTTTTTAATCCATTCAGCTTTGATGAATCAGTATAACAGTAAGGGATAGAGCTTCTTTTATTCTTGTACATGCATTCTGCCTTTGAAACCGCGCAAGAAGAATGTTTATGTCCGATTACGTAATAAACGTGAACATTTTGTTTTTACTTCACGATTTCAGGTGGTATAAGATGTTTTCAAGTTTGTTAAATTCCCGTGAAATATTTTTTTTTTAACTTGACAATAAAATTGCTTAATGCAGCAAAGCGGCTCATTTACACTAAATATGCTTCAGCATGTTTTTTATAACAAATAAATAACAGATTCTTTACCACTGGCATACCAACACCTAGCGATGAATACAAGCGCTTAATTCAAATTAAATGCGTGACGTCATTTATGAATAATTCATACGAAAGATCAAAGAACGCTTATTAATGTTATAACATTTCAAATTTGCGACACGTGTACGTAAATGGAGAAATTATTCACATGATGAGATAGCCGGCATGAAAATGATGATTAAATCCAGTGATACATTTGCATTTTATTTGTTTTAAATGTGAAAGTTATCTTTAAACACAAATAACACCAATAAATGAAGTTTGTCGTGCTTGATATTTTAAATTACTTTTAACAAAATCGTGATATATCAGTGGGATTACAATAATTACAATAAATAACCATTTAGTTAGCTGGAAAAAAAATCTTGTTTGCCATATAGATCAAACGAATCGTGGCATCTAACTTGTTTCTTCACAGTTTCGTACTGTGTTGCCAACATTTTTTTAAATGCATTTCTATTCCATAGCTCCCGCGAAAGATTAAACATTAAATAGTGCAGACCATGAGCAGATGACAGATAAGTTCCAGTTGATAATAGTCTGCACTGGCCGCATGGCTAATGTTTATGTAGTTCCAATGGTTGATAAGTGCCTCAACCTAAGTAGGCTAAGGCCGAGTCACGTCGCTTGCTCCATTAACAATATGCTTACAATTTTTTATATTTATTTATCATGAATCTTGTAACGAGCTGTTTGCTGATAAGCCTATGACACATCTGTGCAATCTGACCAAATTCAATACCTTTTACTGACCAACTAAACCCCCCCCCCCCAAAAAAAAAATGCTGATTGACAATCCCCCAAAATATTGGTGATTGACAGTTCCATGCACTGGAAGAATCCAGCGGGTTCATCACGTATAGAGATCGTAAAAACAACAATTTATAATAACCATATTATTTATTTATTATTTTTGTTAACTCGGGCTCAGTTTTCATATCGATCATAAAACTGCTCATTATAAATCTAGCAAGCATTACGATCAATTTTAAACTGATCATTACTGGGGATCAACATTTTAACTGTTACGTTTGAGACAATAGAAACCATTGATTAGTTTGCATCAAATGATCATCTAATGTCACTCAATAACATCGACCTGTTTGTACTAAGTCCTCTTTCTACACATGTTTATACAGGGCACTTACACTTAATAAGGCCACATTTTCAATTATTAACGAGGAATGTCTGCTAGTAAAACTTTTAAATTAGTCGTTAGGCCAATAGTAGGTCAATAAATTGCAATAATTTTAAAGGGACTCCACTGAGGTTTAAAAGCCTAAAAACATAACATTTGAATTTCTTACATAAATGAGCTGGGGCACTTTAAACAGAAATATATGCAAAGATAGTTAAGAAATATACTATGAAATAAATTGAAAATCGTATTTTAATGATTTTCTTAACCCGACTCAGAAAAGCGTTAAACGCTTTTCATTTTGGGTCATTTTTCACAATTTGAATAATTATTCTGGAAAACGAAGTGCGCGAATGATCTAAAATTTAGCACAAAGATAAGTGGTCTAAACCTACATCAAATGGTACATTTATCTGGAAAAAATATTTTCAGTCCCATCATGTCAAAATACATCAGTGGAGTCCCTTTAATAGGTCGATGTTTCTATATTTTGCTATTTTAAAGGACACTGTCAATAGTTGTATAAATACATTTTTAATATTTTATGCTCAAAATTAAAATAGCAACTGCTGATATCTCGTGGACCACGCGCGTAAGCTGAATAAAAAACAAATGCAATCATAAGTTTAAAAAAAAAAAGAACTTCGTTGGTACAGTCTGTTCTTGATTAAATGACATGGACCGCAATTCATGAAAGTTTTAACACACTTAAAAGGCTGGAAAATGTCGAAATACGAGCGCATGTAAATGTATATTTTGATCAAACAGAGACAAAATAATCGCGGTACGACGATTCAGTATCGGTAAATCGCCATATATCGTTAAACATATTTTACTTAGCATGTATCATTTTACATCACAATATATATGGATTGGGAAAAAAGCATAACATTTATATTAATTACTTTCCATGATGGAGTTTCGTCTTTATCATTTCACTTTAAATGATCAGTGCGTGTTTTAAATTTCAATATTGATCTAAATTAACAAAATTTAGAAAAGTATTATAAAAAAAACCTATAGTATATTGACGAAGGTTAGATTATAAAGTGCAAATATTTACATGTACTACAATTTGAAAAACGAAAAACATGCCCGAATCAGCTGACTTTGCTCTTTATAATTCGGACTGTAAATAGAATATACGTTAAATAACATAGTAGGCGTGGTTTCGGTCTTATTAAAGCGGCCGTCTACCACTTTAATTACAAACACGGTGACGTACAAGTGCCTCGGTAGCGCAGTAGGCAGCGCGTCAGTCTCATAATCATAAAAACCACAGAGTTATCTGAAGGTCGTGAGTTCGATCCTCACCCGGGGCACATACACTTTTTTTCTTTTTAAACTGAATTTTACACTTACTGGCTATGATTGCAATATTTTTTTTAAATATATTTTCATATACATGTATATCATAATTATATTATATAATAATTATTTTATTAATAACTTAATTGAAACATGTTATCTTTTCACACTGGCGTGTAGCGGGAACTGAATACAAACCTCAAATAAGATGATATCAATACTTACCGAAGATAAAACAAATGCCAATTAATGATATAAATGGGTTAACCTGTTCATTCTATCTTTTTTATTTACCACGAACATTTTAAAGATTAGACGAAATGCATTCACAATTTATTCTAGAAATTCTGCTTTCTACAAAGATCAAGATAAAATAATTTCTTATTGCAATTTCTTATTGCATTGTACCATACATTATAACTGAACAATTTTCTATATTACTAATGCTAATATATTCTATTTCTGGTATTTTGTTATATATGCAGGAAATATTCTTTTAATAGCATTATATGAGTTCGTTATTATAACGCTGTACGGACGCTATTTTGCCTTGCTTGATCAAATATTGCGGGCGATGTAGTTTACATAATCTAGAAACCGTGGAGTATTAATTGCTCCCATTTTATCAAAGATCACCAAGGCAGTACGACAAATCTGGTTTCCGGCTTTTATTTTCAATGATCTTCAAGTACAGT